AAGGTCTTTTTTATTTGTTTGAGGATAGCACTCTGAGGGCATGACAGGTCCCTTACGACAATTCGTAGTATTTGCATTCGTCATAATTATTTGACATTTTGTTTGTGGTCAATAAATTGGATGTATGAAGAGTCTTCCTCAACAGATCGTAAGTGCTCACATTCATTGTACTCATATAATTTTTTTTTCATATATGACATTTTGCACACATAAAGGGTCGCCTACAACCCCGCAGATATTTGCACTTATTGATTATTATATTTTGTATGCTTGAGTTCATCACATATCACCTATTAGATTCTTCCGCCGTAGCGACACACTTTTCAGTGGTTTTGCGTGATGTGCCTACTTTAATTAGGGCTCGTACATCCCGTGACACATAAAAGTACGCTATTTTGTTTCTTTTTGAAGACATGTTCACGGGTTGTAAGAGCCGCATAACTTTAACAGCTGGCACGCACGCTAGTTAAAGCACCCGTGACTTGCAATATGACGGACACATTTTTTTATAACAAGGGGTTCAATCAGAAAATTATCGGGGATGTGCGAGGATTCCTACGTGTTTATGATGATCACAAAAACATCTCGTAGGAAAAATAATTTACGTTTTAGATCTACTCATCATTAAAGATATGTATGCAGGAGCTATTACTTGTGTTCAAACACAAGGTGGATTGACCAAGTATTTCCCTATTTCGGTTGGGTTACATCAAGGATCAGCCTTAAGCCCATATCCTTTTGCTTTAGTCATGGATGTTCTCAATAGACATTTGCAAGAGGATGTACCTTGGTGTATGCTTTTTGCTGATGATATTCTTCTTATTGATAAGACTAGAGAGGGAGTTGAAGGTAAACTTGAATTATGGAGGTCAACCTTAGAGTCTAAAGGTTTTCGCTTGAGTAGATCTAAAACGGAATATATGGAGTGTAATTTTAGTAGTAATAGACCTAGTGAGGGGATTGTGACTTTGGGCGATCAAGTCATTAATAAGAGTACACGTTTTAGATATCTTGGATCTATTGTTCAGAGTGATGGTGAAATAGATGGGGATATTATCAACAGAATTCAAGTTGGATGGTTGAAGTGGAGGAATGCATCGGGCTTGTTATGTGATAGAAATGTACCCCTCAAACTTAAGGGAAAATTCTATAAGATGGTAGTGAGGCCTGCAATGCTTTATGGTGCCGAATGTTGGCCATTAAAAGAGAAGCATAATACTAAGTTAAGTGTGGCAGAGATGAGGATGCTCAGGTGGATGAGTGGCTTTACCCTTAGAGATAGGATACGAAATGAGCATATACGTGAAAAGGTTGGAGTAGCTCCAGTAGAAGATAAGATTAGAGAGAGTCGCCTTAGATGGTTTGGTCACATAAAACGGCGGCCTTCCGATGACCCGGTTATGAGAGTAGAGGCATTAGATTTGACTTATGTTAAGAAAGGTAGAGGTAGACCTAAAAAGACTTGGTTAGAAAATATTAGGAATGACCTTTCTTTATTAGATTTAAACGAGAATTTGACTTTTAATAGGACACAATGGAGAAAAAGGATTCATGTAGCCGACCCCACGTAGTGGGATAAAGGCTTGATGTTGTTGTTGTTGTACTTTTACTTTTACCCCCTTCTTTTAAGATAATTACCAGCCGTATTCATTGTATTTAAACTCGTATTTACTTCCGTATTTACGTTCGTATTTACGTTCGTGTTTCACCTGCTAGTGAATACTCTAGAAATCCAATACAAGAGCCTCGAAATGGCATCTTAGGATCCTAAGTAGATGGGCCCGCATGTGTACCTTCTCCGTCCTTTAGCAAATGATCCTAGGCTGGTGGGGCCCACAGATGTACCTTCACTATCTTGTAGCAAGTGGATCCTAGGCTAGTGGGGCCCGCGAGTAATGTGAATCCAACATTATAAATATAAAGGAGGCTAAGCTCATTCCTTCACATTTCATTTCTGCAAAGAGCTTTAGTGATGAGTGTTGCTACGGGGTTTAGGTGTACGCAAGTCAAGAGTTTGGAGGAAAAGATTTGGTTCCTACTTGCTGGTGACAACTGATTCCCCTACGAATTTGGTGTAAGTTGCATCATATTATGATATGAATTTCCTTCTGTATTTATTTTTAGTGTTGGGAGCCTAGGGTGTCATGTTTTTTTTTTTTTTGTTGACTTAAAACTTTTAGGTGGATTTTGATTTTCTTTGAAATTTTTTAAGTCACGGGTTTTGCTGAAAGTTTCGGCACTACTCCGACGTCGTCCCCGCATAGGGGTTGCATCGGAGGTGTAAAGCCTTCCCGCCTGCCAAGAAAGGCAGTCACGATAGGTGTCAGGTGACACCGCGGCCACAGTTCCAATCCTCGCTCGCTAACAAAAGCGGTCACGGGGGTCTTTAAGCACATATTTAAAGCATAGCATTTTTTCCGCCTAAAAGCAGTGACGGGTACTTAATTAAAAAAAAAATTTACAAATAACAAATTTCCCCGCTCGCTAAAAAAATCGGTCATAGGTACTTAAATTTCATGCATACGAATTTCTGCGCTCGCTAATAAGAGCGTCACGGGTACTTAAGTTTCTTCGCTCGCTAACAAAAGCGGTCATGAGTACTTATTTCATGCATAGAAATGTAAAATACTAGTGTAGGGCTTTTTACCTTAGGTCTGCAGTAATCGAGGTGGCAATGACGAATGGCGGCGACGGTGGGAAACCTGCGATGCATGTTTTAAATTTTTTTATTATTATTTGTGCAATAAAATTAATCATATATGTCATTTTTTATTTAAAACAAAGAGTACAGAGAGAAAAAGAGGAAGAGATCTCTCTTTCTAGAGAGAGAGGAAAAGAGAGGATTTGATGGAGCTTTTTAGTAGAAGAGGCTTAGGGTGTGTTGGAGATTGGGGGAGTGAGGTTAGAGAGAGAAAATCTCTCTTTCTCTAATTTTTTTAGAGAGAAAGTGAGAAGAGAAATTTTTTTCCCTCTTTAGGAAAGAAATTTGGAGGCATGGTGGAGAGGAGAGATGCTTGGGGTGAAAATGGATCCATGAAGAGATTTCACTCTCATTCTAGAGATAGAAAATTTTCTATCTCTAGGTTAGAGAGAGAGTGAGGGATGATGGATTTTTTTTTATTGGGAGGGTGTAGAAGGTGTAGGGAAATATTTTTTGTGAAGGGTGGTGGGTGGTTTATGGGATGGATGTAGAGATATAAAAAATTAGGGTTTAGGGTTGGTGTAGGTTTAGAGAAAATGAGGCTGGAGGAAGAAGAAGAAGATGAAGTGAGGAAAGGGAAGAGAGGAGAGGAAGAAAATGAAAAGAAATGATGATAAATATGGAAGGAAGATGAAGTAGAAAGAAAAATGGGAGAGAAGAAGAAGAAGGAAGGAAGAAGAAGAGGGAGAAGAAGAATGGAGGAAGAAGAAGAAGAAGAAGAAGGAGAATGAGAGATTAGCTTGCTTGGAGGGAGAAGAGAGGCCGGCGGTGGAAACCGAGAGGGAGAGGGAGTTCGGTGGCTTCCTTGCGTGAAAATGATTGTGAGATGAGGAGAGGGGGGCGGTTAGGAGATATGAGGGATTGAGGGTCTAAGTGAGGGGTAGTTTAGGTATTTTTGGGATTTTTTTTTTATTTAGAAAAATTCTATTTTTATTTAAAATCTCTTTCTCTCCCTCTTTCTAATTTTTTTTTAATTATATTACACAAAAATAAAAATAAATTTTTAATCTTGCATCGAGTTGGTCAACGTGTCGCTGCTCGCACACATCGTCGCCTCGATTCGCACGCCCAAAATTTAAATTTTCGCCAACCGTCGACCCCTATCAATATGGGTGTCGATCTTAGCTGTTTCTGTTACTCCGGACGCATCGGCGCTGTCCGTTTTGCGAACGGATGTCATCTCGACGATTTTGGATTTTCGGTCGACACGCGTCGGTTGAGTTTTTGCACGATTTCAAACTCTTTCGCTTTTGAAACCCACCTTGCGCGGTCGACTCGATCCCGACACTAGTATTAGGGTCAACAATATAAAAATATACAGTTGATGAGGTGAACCTTTGCTCTTCCTTGTTCTCCTTCCTTGGTGGTGATTGGTTGAAGAACCATATAATTGATTTTTTTTACTTAAATTAGCTGAAATAAAAATATTTTAAAGAATGTTGAGTAAAACTCATTTAAATATCTTTCGCTCCTCTCTTGCTTCCAAACGGAGACCCCCCGGTAATGAGACAACAAACAAAATTATTTTAATTTAGCCCCCCCTGAATAAAATTTCTACTCCGCCACTGACAAAAACAATGGAATCCAAACACAACCAACAAAAAGGTTTTATTGATAGAAAATACCATGAGCGCAACCATCATATATATGATTGTCACTTATTGCAAATTAAAAGTTTAATAGAAACTCTGACTGACTCATCTAACCTATTTACAAATAAAAGATCAAATTAAAAAATTCAAAAACATGAGAACGGATACAACACAACCAGCTTAATTATATTTTTGATGATAACTATGAACTTCTAGATCCACATCAAACTGCGAAAATAAAGTTGAGAATAGACTTAGGTGAATAGGAATATATAAAAGGAATAGAAAAGCATTAAAAAGGCATGGGGATAAAATTATCATGAAAAGAGAATGAAGCAAAATGGCAAAGCAAAGGATAAGGGCTTTAACAAAAGTTTTACAAGAATTATTGTTGACAATATATACAGTAATTAACTGGAATGAATACAGAAGAAACATTCATAAAATTAACACAACTAGTTGCAACTTAGAACAATGATAATGAAAGAAAAATTGTTGCATTAATATTTGCTTCTATACATGATCAAAGCATCTGAATTTTTTACCATGCACAGTCAATTTTTTTTTCAAACCACAGTTGTTTTTTGGTTATTTATAGGGCCAAATGTAGCTTAACCATGGCATGCATATTGAGATTCGAATCCTAATTGCAATTACTTGATCATGAGCAACAAAATTTAAGCCAGACGAATTTTTGAGTTAATTACCTGAAATATCAAATTTTTCATGACCATCTCATAGTAAGGCAAGGCACCTCTTAGTTGTCCCCGGTCCATCAAGCCATCACCTTCCTTCAATGCCTTAAATAAAAGAAAAGAAGAAAGAATTAATATCCCCATAATCAAAGTGACGAAAATCTGTGTTCATTATCATAGAAAGCATAGAATCAAGCATTAATTTATGTATTGTTTATGTACTTCGGAGGAACAACGGTGAACCATTTCAATGTAGATTGACTACATGATTTAGGGTAGTCATCTAACAACTAACAAACCTAAAATTAGCCGTACTCATTCTGCTATTGTAGGGACAAAAAGCCCGGGGTGAATCATGCTTGGTATAGAGTTTAAAACTGTAACTAATACGTGCATTCAAGAATATTAAATAAAAATCCAGATGTGTATTTAAGGAAAGTTTTTTTCTGATAACAATGAAGAATCATCACAACAAAATCATTTTGAATCTAACTTTTTTATCAAGGAAAAATTTTCAAATTGAAGATATTCTAATTGTGTAGCAAGATTAAAATCTCATAAGAACATGACAGTACTCGTCACAGATATTTTAGAACAGTGATCCCAAAATATGTACAATCACTGCATTGCTATAACAGACACTATTCAACAAACAAGAAGTTGCAAGGAGTGATACCTTTTCACACTCAGCTCTTGTTTTTAAATCAACTGTGAAACCCATCTTTTTTTTATAAGCTGAAATTAACTCTCTGCTACGCTTTTCTTTTGCTTCTTTTGCCTCTGGAGTTTCAAGTATTCCACCAGCCTCAATAACTCTTCCACCTCCAAACTAAAAAAGGAAAGTTCAATGATATTATATAACAATGTTGCAAAATATAGCAAAGTGTATTATATGCAGTAGAGAGAAAACAGAATAATCTACAGAACATAAACAAACTGGAAAATTCATTCAGGGTGTCCTCAACAAAATGCTTGATGGCAGATTAGATATGTAACATAGCGTGGCATGCATAATAATAAATAGAATTTATCATTTTTTTTCTCCATCAAACCCTATTGCTTTGTATTTTAATTGTTTAAAGTACTTGTCTAGCTATTTGAAAGGAAATCTTACTTCATAACATATTAGCTTGTTTTATACTGCACATATGCTGCCATGATCCATCAAATAATTAGTCAGGATGTGCTAATCAAATTATTTCCCTCCAATAGCCAATAGGTGAACTACAACTCATGAAATTTCAGAAAATATGATTCTCCCATGTGCTCAGTCCCAAAACACAAAGAAATCCATATGCATTATAAGTTAGGTGACATGCATGCATATTTGCATTTCTGTAAATGCATACATTTATGCGCAAAGGTGCACATATGGAACATAATATAAATATACATTATGTAAGGCTAAATAAACTTCTACTGTGTATTTTCTCATGTACCCTTGATTAGTTGATGAAAAATAAAAAGGTAAATGACTATTACTATCAATATAAATTGAAATAGTAGCAATAGTATACCGTCTTAGAGATGTTATTGGGCCTTGGAAAGACGCCCCATGTGGAGACTTTGGGTTTGTATAGACCCGTTCTGTCGATTACTTCAGACGAACTACTTGCTTGTGGTGTTCTTTCAAATTTGCTTACATCCCCAACAATAATTTCCACTTCTGGCACATCACCTTCCAAAAGGGGACCCACTGGTGTTACTAAACCAGGAGGCTTTCCTCTATAATTTTTCTTTTCAGAGAAATTAAGCCCCAAAAAGTCCTTGCTGGAAATTTTTAGCTCGTCCTTCTTCTTTAACTTGCTCTCTACCAAACCCTTTCTTGAGTTCCTTAAACTCTTGTCTTCTTCACCTACAAATAATATTATCAGAAGTTCAATGTAAAATGTTTAGATAGCTGTGAAACATCAATAAATAAATTAATAAATTATATTCACATTCAGATAGCACCAAAATCTCTTTTAAATCAGTTTTTTATATACAAAGGCTTGCATTAGCTGATCGAGACCATAAATGAAAAAAACACATATATTTGGGAAGTAAAACTGAAGTATAGCAATATTAACATAAGTAGGCCTTAATCATCTTTCCAAAGCTTAATTTGAAAAAATCTGGGAAGACAGTGCCTTCAAAGATCTCCTCATATGATCTCTAGGTTTTGATAAAACATATATAAAGGTTTCATGCAAATTTTAAGAAATCAGAAAGTGCCCTTGTTCCATACCCTTGTCAAAAGTACAGAAAATCATTTTTGTTTTAATTGACGATCTACAAATTGTACTTAATGTATAATTATGTCATATATTTAATAAAAGATGCTCCATTTTTGTAAGCCTTTCAAGCTATCAATAGCAGATTTTAGCGCACAAATTTTGTAAATTTCAGTTTTAATTTCTCAAGGTCTTGAATAAAACAAACCTGAAATTCGCACGAAAACATATTCATTCATATTTTTGTGGCCCTAGGCTCCAAAACAATCCTGATGCAACTTGTATTATCCAATTAATTTTCATTTAACTTGAAGCAAAATTTAAATCTCATTAGCTCCATCAATTAAACTGCCTCACTTACCTATGTTAAGAATGATGAAGATCAATTATATGCGCACAAGCTTCACAAGCCCAGGCTAAACTTGCATAGGAGATCATGCAAGCATCTAATGTTGAGAATGAGTTAAGGATCATGCTAAAGAAGTGAAACATTACGAAGTCTAAGATATTCTAATATATGCATATTATCCCAACACATTTTAAGCCCAGTTATAAGACGTTGTGCCTGATTCAAAGACACCTCTTGATGTTATATTGATCCCTAACGGGCCCACTCATACAAATGTAGACATGGGTAATTCCATAGCCTCATGCACTAATTGATGTGAAACATATATGGAAACAAGAATTGCATAGGAATTAATAACAAGTTGTTAAGCTTTGTTAATTTTAAACTCAATGTTTCACCAAGATAAGTCTAGGATTTCTTAGTTGCAGTTGTGCTTTGACATACAGTTACAAGAAAGATTAACAGGACAATTTAAAATAAGAACAAATTTGTAATAACGCTAGCTGCATAAATAATAAAAATCCACCATTTAACAAATAGAAAGTTCACCTCGAGTTCCCCTCACTTTCACTCTTGATGGTGGGGTTAGCAGGAGTATAATTTCAGCAAAACCTAAAGATGCCACCAAAAGAAAGAAAACGCCTACAGCATTACCCAATAAAAAGTAAGGTGGAGGGGAAGAAGTTGGTGGATGTCCAATAACCCGGCACTGTCCGGAGGTGTGGAGTTCGTCGATGGCAGACGTCAAGGTGAAAAGGATTCGGTCGACGTAGTCGTCGACAGTATCGTCGATCTCCCAGTTGACTATATTATATAGATTCAAATGTAAAGTGATAAAAATGTCATGATAGCTAACTAAGGCTATGTAAAATAAGAAATGTTAAGATTAATATATGTTAAAATTAGAAAGGATAAATTAAGAAAATATTAAATTAGAGGAATAATTAGAGCAATATAAATTGAAGATACGTAATTGAAAATAATTTAGACAATAATGAAGGAAAGAAATTGCAACCATTAGAAGATGAATAAAAGCAGTATCAAGAGATTTGGAAGGAGAAGGGGTAAGGATTGAAGTTGTTCAAAAATATTTGCAATTGATAGATTTAACACCTTAGGTAGCACTCAATAAGTACAATTGGAAAACAAACATTAAGCATTCATAAAGCAAACCCCAATTAGTTGGATAAGATTAATGATGATAATAATTGCTCATCACATAACATTAATGATGATGTTCACTGCTCATCGCATAACAGTAAATAGCAGTTGTTAGCAAGCTAAACAGCTCCTATAGCATTACAACCCTTAACACCGAAACAACATCTATGGACAAGATATATCTAAAGCCCAAGTAGTAGCCAGTTAAGCTGCTACAACTCACAATGCCCGTTACCAAAATCAATCATCAAAATACATAATATACATAAAGCAACATCAACAAATCACAACACTCAGAATGTGCCAGCACGTCATCTTTCATAAAATCCAGAAGTAATTGATACAATTTAAAACCCTCTTGCATCTACCAAACCCAAAACATCATTTTTTTCCAACAAACTAAACAATCACTTCGTTAGTTAGCATAACCTTCAAACAATTAAATGCCTTCTTCTTTGCTGCGCCTACAAGCGGAAAGCAACTGAATAAATAACGTAATACTCTCAAAACATTACCGGGATCTCTCGGTTCTTCAACTGAGGCTTGCATGCTCTTCTTGTTCTCCTTGGCCTTCTCCATAGCGAGCTTAACGGCAATCGGGACGTCCGGCACGGAGCCGCTACTTCCTTGGGCCTGTACGTCGGATTCCCCGGAGGATTTCGGAGCGTTTACCGGCGCCTGCGGGGTAGAAAACATCTTGCCTTTTCTATAGGCGTTGGCCTTGGAGAACGCGAGCCGTACGTGGTCAGGGACTTCGGTTTCTCCGGTGGATGCGCCATCTTCGGAGGACGAAGCCGTGAGCGTTCTGCAGTATTTAAATCTTTTAGGCGGGAGCAAGACAATCTTGGCGCCGGAAGATGTGTCGGCATAGGAGGAAGGAGAAGCGAGAGTTCGAGGAACCGAAGACCAGGTTGATGGCGGGATCGAAGCCATCCACTGACTGACGCTTGTGGGAGGGAATGGATAATGAGTGAATTATTTTATTTCTGTTAGTTCAGAAAGGATCTGTGCTTTTAAGTTTTTTATTTATTAGGTATTTAGGGAATCATTAGAGAACTGTAAATAAGCTTTTTCTTTAGAAGATTAGGGCATCAAAAAGAGGCAAATGGAGTGGGCTCACTCCCCCCAAATCTATATGGAGTTGTGAGAATCATATCATTGCCAAAACATTCTCCCACCTCAAGTTTGAGCTTTAGGCCAGCTACAATAATCCATTTATCAATTGATTTACTATTTTTCCTATATTTTCTATGATTTTATTTTTTTTTTTATTTTTTTGGAAAAAATTGGCTTTCTTCATATTCATTAATTCAAAAAGAAGTTATAAGAGTAATGTTGAAAAAGAAATAAAATGGAAACCTTTAGGAAGAAAGAAAAGTTAGAAAAAAACCTATAACCCCTATAGACTAAACAAAAAAGAAACTAAAGGAAAAATCACAAGCAAACGAAAAAAAATCAAATAAGAACCTTCTGAAGAATGGCTTTAATTGCCAACTTGGACTTAGTAAAAAAATTTTCGTCTTCGGATATCTAAGACGACTCTACCCCTGGTTACCCAAAGACCTTCCATGGGGAGAGGTGTGGCAAGTGAGCATCATAGTCCAAGGCCCCAAAACATAGTAAACCGGGACCTGCCTTGCCTGATCATAAGCTTCCAAATTCTCAAAATATACCAAGTTGTTAGACGATCAGAGAACCCTAAAAGTCAAAGCAGCCAACCAGAAAGTCTCGAACAAATACAAAATTTAAGCTTATAGAGATCAGTAATCATTAAAGAGTTCCCCAATCCAATAAATGACGCAGAGACTTATAGATTCCTCTTAGCCTTCATGCTTTTCCCATCTTTCCATTTTGAAATTTTGAGTTTTACAGACTTGGCAATATGACTAGCAAGGGTTGTAGGACAAACTGCTCTACTACCAAATTTTCTACTATTACGCTTACGCCAAATGTGATAAACTCTAGCATTTAGAGTAAGCAATAGAACATTTTTGAAACTTCTCTCTCCAGGCAAACCCCCAATAAATTTATAAGTCTGTGAGACATTAGGTATTAATAGAAAATTCTGACAGTGAGGAAGTAGACAATTCAGGACATCGAAAGAATACTCATAGTCAAAATAAATATGATAAAGAGTTGCATTGCAGCCATGACAAAGAGAGCATAATTTATCTGTTACAGCAATATTCCTTTTAGAAAATTCATCCATTGTTTTAAGACCTCCTTGAAAAGCCGGCCAAGAGAATATGGAAATATGAGGGAATGTTTCTTGCGCCAAATCAGAGAAGCCCAATCGAAATTAGGTTCATTAGAAAAATGCTTAGCATAGTAGTCTTTGTAAGCCAATATGCCCTTTGTATCCCAAATTGAGTTATTATTTTTATCTTTGCTGATAATGTAGATGGCAATGCTTCTCTTTATATGTTGAGGGATATAGTCTAGTATATGACCTATTATCATTGTGAATCCAACTAGCTAAAGTATCAAATTGAGAGCAATAATCAGAGTGTGTGAAGTCTGAAAAGGAAGAGGAAAAAGTTTCCCCTAAACAATAATGATCCCATATTAGAGCCGTTGGACTATATTTTTTAATGATAAATTGAAACTTGCTCCTAACCAATGGGGTAGTTTCACAAACATTTTTTTCAAAAAAATGTTGAATTGGTCGTTCTAGGCTTCCAAGGAGAGATGTATCTAATTCTCAACCAATTAGAAAGAGGAGAATTCTGATTATACATTCTACAAATAGTGGAACAGTTTAGAGCAAATCTCATAGCCGAGAAGGAAGGAATGCCAGCCCACCTTTGTTAATTGGTTTGCACATATTGGCCCAATAAATGATTTTTATAACTTATTCATAACAAATCGTGCTCTAATTGCGCCCGTCCGCAACATCTTCTTTAATTTATCCTTGTCCAACAATGTGATCAAGCCCATCGAATCTCAAGTCCATCCTGATATTTCTCCCCACAAATCTTCATTTCGAAGCAGCAAATCCAACGACATTCATCTTTTCAGACATTCAACTAATTATTAGCCAACACAATAAAAATAATAAACAAATAACTTCATTGTGTTTTGTTTGTGAATGTCTTATATTTTAGTTATATTATCAAAATGAGTTAGTTATGTTTATCTTTTAAATTTAATTATATTAATAATAGTTCAAATATACCGAGGGATAACAAGAATGTATAAAACTAATGACATATAAACTTTTTCAATATTATTTTTATCATAATTCGGTGTTCAATGTAGAAAATACTTCAAAAATATTATATTATGTTATGATGTTGTAAGAAAAAATATATATTATTCAAGCTTTAGGGTAATTTTGTATATATTATGGAAACGTATCTAATATCTTAGTGATTATAAATGTATTTTGCAATGTTTGTCGAATAATTATTTATTGAGTTGGTTAATCTTTAAATATTTTAAATGAAGATTTGTAAACCCTTAAAACTATTTTATAAAATACTGAAAGTTTGTTTCCAACTGAATAAATTTTGATCAATATGTGCTCAACAAATTTTCTTTCAATATTATCTATGCTAATCAGCATGTTATATAGATTTTAAGAGCATGAAAAGTCGCTACAAAATTTTTTTTTGAATGAATTGACTTAGGGTTGTTTGGTTTGAAGTAAAGTGGGAGTAAAGTATTCCTTTTATTAGGGTTTTGAAAATATTTAAGTTTGACTAGATGAAAAAGAAATGTAGTATAAAGTATTTCTTTTGTAACTTAAAATATTTTAATTCATTTTTTTAAAAAGTAAGCTTGATCAATTTTGATGGAATTTCTTTTTCACTGCATTCAAGCTGCTTTATCACTGCCAGCCACCAACTGTCAGTCATTGCTACCGCCTCCCTCTACCCTGGTCAACACCCACCATCGCCCTGCTGGTCACCAGTGCCACAACTAGTGGCATGTCACCCCGCCACCACCAGCTACCACTATCTCCCCCCTCCCCATGTCGTTGCCAACCAGCCATTGCTACCGCCTCCCTCAGCCCTGGTCACCACCCAACATCGTCTCGTTGGTCACCACCACCACAATTGGTGACCTGTCACCCCCACCACCAACTACTACTATTTGCATTAAGGAGATATGAGATAAATTTGACAAAAGCAATATTCAATTGAAGAATACTTATATTTATAGAATTGAATTATATGCACTTTATGCAATAGTATGTGGCCACATAAAATAATGAAGCTATGTTTATATGGACACTAGTTTTAAGGATGAAATTATATCAAGTCATACGTTGGATACCATTGGCATTCTACATAAGTCCATTGACAAGCGGCTAGTGGGCTAATGGATTATTACAGAGAACTTTATTTATGGTAAATTGGTAACCCAACAATCGAGTGAGGCAATACACCAATATATTAGAGATATGAAAGTTGTAATAACTCAAAAATATGAAAAAATGAAATTCTGTTTTAACTCTAGCACTTCGGCTCTATACTTTTTAGTGTTGCAGCATTATGCTTAAAACCACAGCCATGCCAAAAATCGTTGTTGCGATGTTAGAGTATTTGTTCTACAGTATTAATTTCTGGATTCACTAGTGGCGTTGCGGCGCTAGGTCTAAGCATTGCGGCTCTACTCCATTATATAATCCTAAGACTCTAAGCGCTAAACCACCACAGCCATGGCCTGCTTGAAGAGGAAGAACTGGAGAGGGAGAGGAAGGAAGAGAATGGGAGGAGAGAAAAGGCATTCAGGGTATATTCGTCTGTCGAATCTATTTAGAGATTTCTTCTGATCATTGTAAGTAACCCAAATCTCACTTCAGTTTTCAATGATTTTGAGTTTGATAGATTTATTCTCTCCTAAATCGATAAAAATATATTTTATCCTGATTTATCGCAGTTTTACTGTGTAACTTTTCGTATATGATAGATCCATATTTTATAAATATTTTAACTGTTATATTATTAAATTTTACTAAGTAAAGTAAAAGTTATGGTTTTCAGAAGCTATAAACTGATATATAAATTTTTCTGCATTTTATATAATTGAGTATTTCATATTGTATTTTATACATTAGAATGCATTTCATGAAAAAAAGGGAGGCTGACTGCTAACATTTTAAATTAATTTGTGTTGGCTCTTAAAATATAATATATTGTGCAAGATGTTTTGTGGTGTTATCATAATTGTAGCAAAAAAATGATGACCAATTATGTCAACGGGCAGAGAGTGGTGAATCTTAATGATTAGTGAAAGCTACTTATAATGATAATGATATGAATAAAAAGATTGCAAGATGAAAATATCACATTAAAGTTGGATGTCCTACCATGATAAATCATATAATGAAGCATGCATGCATTGATAGTGATGATAGATATAATTGTAATGTGCATAGATAACATTAATAGATAGATCATAATAAGTATAGATATATATATTGACTGCATATGATTGATAATAGATAACATAAATAAGACTAATGATATTGACACACATGTATGTTATGATTCTTTTTCTGATTTATAATTTATGAATATTTTTAGTACGATTGATTTATAGATTTATTAATTCTCATATCGACTATTGATTCATTGAAGTAGTTTTTTTATTTTTTTTTTATTGATCATTTTGAGCCTTACAAATGTTAACTGATCATTGATGAGATTGAATGTTATTGATTATATTAACTGAATTAAGCATACATATTAAATTTTTTAAGCCTTGCATTGGAAGCTTTAGTGAATTTGGTTTTATGTTGAATTTTTTAGCTCATTATGTGGATTTTAACGATTTCATGTCATGGAAGGGATCAAGCACAGGTGAAGTGAGGTTATCAAATATCATCATATTTTTCTTTTGATTTTATTTAGTGTTTTCTTTTTCCTTTTGTAGTTAGTAGCTTGGAATAGATTTTGGATTATAATTGATCTCCTGATTATTATATATGATTTTGGGAGAATAAATATAGTGAATTATTAAGATGTATATAA